TAACTAAAGAGATGAAAATGCGATTACTATTCTGCGAAGTTAATCAAAAATTTATTCTAAAATAGCCAATTGACTAGACGCCAAATAAATAGAAGTCATTGGAGCTTGAATAAGAACTCAATTTCATGTCGCGTTAGGAATGTAAGGTCAAAACTGCTGTCCAACCAGGCTTAGAGAACCTTATCGAGGTATCGCAAGTCCAACCTGTTTTATTGAGCTAGATTCAATCATTATTTATTAAATCATCTTTAAAAACCTCGGAGAATTCGAGTCGTGATCACTGACTAACAGTTGAACTCACTGCAGATGGAGTAAAGTGATTACAAGTTAATACATAATTCGTATTTTTTATGTGAATGATTGAAATATTAAATCCTTCAATATGGCTGACTAAGAGGCGACCAACTATAAAGTTAATAAACTTCTTTATCTCTTCAAAAAGAGAAGGCAGGTACCTGTAAAAGCAAGCAACAGTTCGATCAACTCATAACGGGCCTCTTCATTCAGAGGTGGCGGACTGTCTTCAATTGCTGCTGCCCGTGGCGTCGAAGTGGTCTCAACGCAGTTCCAGATCGTCTTGCAGGCTAATGCTGCCAGCTGCCAGTCTCGACCGGCGAAGTCATTCAACACATTAAGTATCCTAAATTGTGGACAATATGGGTTTGATTAGAAGTAATAAATAATTTTAAGATATGAAGGAAAACTGGGTTTCGAAGAATTCCATAGTGATATATTGTCGCATGACCGAAAAGTTGGTTGGAAGGAATTCGCGATGTGGTCTAAACGGAATGAGACACAATGTGGGTGGGGTTTAAAGTTTATGAAGAGGAAGATTCTCAGACATGGACATAGGCATCACCTGCTGTACATCCTCGAATATGGCGTAATCGAGGACGGGAATTGAAAGCTCTTAGGCAACCAGATTTCAGACAGCCATACAGTGATTTTGATGTTTAGCGACGGCTAAATGAAAAGCGTTTAGGAATAAAAATGGGGGCAGAACGACAGTCAGGAGCTTTGCAAACGGTATCTGATACCGGTGGTGTAAATGATTACGCTTTTGGTATATAAGTAGAGTTTCGAGACTACCAGTAAATCAGTAATATGAGGTGTGTTCACTCTATTTCGTTTAAGGTGATAAAAGATTGGTAGTTAAATTTTCCCACAATGATATGAGTAAAGCTGACATTTCCATTGAATTTCACATTGCCTTGCTTTCCTAAAAGTTGTTCTCATCCAGGCACCAGTGGACTGCAGTTTCGACGCCCCCAGCGGGAGTCGAACTGTGAAAGTAGGGCATGTGAGCTTGATACATAGTCACGAATGCCATTGGGTCACAGGGCCGATGTAAATTTTAAGGAAGGCCAGGTCTTTCCCATATCACATTCTTTGGTTGGATTGTCGATCAAGCAAACGTATTTTTGCTATAAAAATTGACTACATTACTTATTTTTCGTATATAAGTAGAGTTTTAAGACTACATGTAAATCAGTTATATGAGATGTAGGAAAGGTCTGGCCTTCCTTGAAATTCAAATCTGCTCTGTGACTCAAAAACAGTGTGGCCGAGTGGTCAACGTGTCGAGCTCACATTCTGTACTGTCACGGTTCGACTCCCGCTGGGGATGTTGATAATACTGAGGAAAGGTAGAAACTGCAGTCCACTTCAGCATGGATGAAAAAACTTTTGCGAGAGCAAAGCTCTGTGAAATGCAATGGTAACGTCAGCTCTACTCATATCATTGTGGGAAAGCTCTACTGCCAGTCCTTCACCACTTAAAAGAAATAGTGTGAATATATTTCATATATGATCACGTTTCACTAAACCCACTTGTAGCGACACACTCTTAGGCGACATTGGAGGAAATAAGAGCACAGATTTATGTGAATAAGTGGAATGGGGCTGAGAAAAAGAGATGCACGATTCGAAGGTAGAACAAAAATTAGAGACGAGGACTAATTCCACAGCGGTTGAACAGACAATTGGTCAAAGGGATTGCCTTCGCTTGTCACATCTAGCGATGTCGGCGTTGTGGAATGTACCCAGCCAATGGTCAAATTCTGGAAAGCCGACAGACGACAAGGTCTCCTTGACAGGCTGACCAAGTTGAGATAACAAGGCCGAACCAACACTATGAAGCTAGGGGAGTCTGCGACCAAACAGGCCTCACTATCTTGTTCTTACAATCTATTATCTTATTATTAATCGACCATATAACGAAATCATAACTTGGAAACTAGGAGTGCCTCTTCAAAAACTCTAACTTCTAATTGGAAATGTAGTCATTAGCTAAAATAGGGGTTCAACAAGATCCCATAGATAAGCCCAGTGTTTTTTCATACAACTTTATATTGAAGGTAAAATATGTATTATACATTGCCAAATCGACTAATATAACGATTGAATATTTGCCTAATTTTGTACCTATTGTGATTTCAGAGTGCTGAGCTAGATTTAATTTAATTGCCTTCATAGGATAGATGCCAATACTAAGTTTACTATGGAGTAAGAAAAAATAAATAAATAGCATTTTTGGATGCTTTAGTGAGCAAAGAAGGTAATAAATTGGGCAGAGACGTATATAGGTAATCCACACAAGTGGGTTTCAGTACTAATTTCTTCTCCAACAAAAGATAGAGTCAAAATAGGAGTTACCAACTCAATGATAAAGATGAG